TCGACTTCGACCACGACATCGCATGTCGGCAATTGGCCGAGGTGTTGGGGACGACGCCTGATGTCATCCTTGACGATGTCTTCCACTCCGGCGAACAGTGGAAATACGAGCGGGGCGAGATCACCACGCTCGATCTCCATCGGTGGCTGTGTGACCGTTACGATGTCGACGCGAAGCTGGAAGACGTCTGCCATGCCGCGTCGCATATCTTCGAACCGATTCCAGGGTCGGTGGAGATCGCCACGCGGCTGCACGCCGCAGGGCATCGGCTGGGCATACTGTCCAACACGTGCGATGCCCATTGGGAATATTGCCTGGAAAAACCGTTTCCCTTCCTGCACGATCTGTTTCCGATTCACGCTCTCAGCTTTCGCCTTAGGGCGATGAAGCCAGACGCAGCGATCTACGCGCAAGCGGCACAGCTTTGTGGGGTTTCTCCGGAAGCGATCTTCTTTGTGGATGATCGTGCCGATAATGTCGAAGGTGCCAAGCGTGCCGGTTATGACGCCGTTTTGTTCCAGGGACCGCAGTCGCTGCACGACGCTTTGGTGGCCCGGGGCGTCTCTTTCTAACGGTCGGACTGCCCGATTCCACTCCTGTGGGGAAGCTTTTCTGTCGCGGGAAAGTTTCGACTTGCGACCGGCCGATTCTAACCTAACTTTGCCCAGATTTATCAATGCGCTTTGTCAATGGAATTGGGGCATATAGATGGCATCCGTATCACCATCGTTACAGAAGCAAGTGCTGCACGTCGACGACGACGAGACGTTCTTGAAACTTGTGAATCGTCGTTTGACGAGTGCCGGCTACGAAGTGACGTCGCTTTCGCGACCTGAATCGGCACTGAAACACCTGTTGAATCATAACTGTCGCGTTTGCATTCTCGACATCGATATGCCGCGGCTGAATGGTTTAGAACTGCTTAACGAAATCAAATCGTACGACGGCGGCATTCAGGTCATCATGATGACTGGGCTTGTGTCGCAGATGACGGTTTTGGAGTCGCTTCGCGGCGGTGCGGAAGCCTGTTTCTTCAAGCCAATGACCGACTTCGCGCCCCTGGTCGATGCCTTGGATGCAAC